CACGCATATGAATGACACCAGAAGGCACCTCAAATTAAAGCAGAATACAAAATGGAAGTAATCTATTGCTGTTATTCTCAGAATGTGCTTTTTTTAAGCCTTTCCCCCCACTGAGGTCTTAAGGTTGTTTCCGTTTTTTTTTTTTTTTTGTTCTGGAGATGTTGTCTTCCAATACCTGTCCATTTTAATATCACACCAATGCACTCTTCATTTACATTATAATGAATGTGGAGAGAAAAACATATCTGTGTGTGATGGTGACAGAGAGATTTTAGATTTATATTGTTATATATTGGCGTCATAAGAGCCTGCTTATTAAAACCTCCATTGTTGTATGTGTTGAAGTTGAAGTTTGTACTTAAAATCTAGTTTTTTGTTTTTTAAGCTCTATACATATGGTTATATGCCTGCAAGTTCTGGCTAAGCTTAATTTTCCAAACATCAGTTAGTACACTATACACCCTTAAATTGATATGGGTTGATTATTTCGATGATACTCATACTCTAAATAATATATCTGTACCGGATACTCATTTCAGTAAGTACTCGCTCAGCCTTAAAAATGATCCATTGGTGCCCTCAAAGACATGTTTGCTTTGTGGAAACATTGTGTAGCGCTTTGTAAAGGAGTTTCTAGAAGAGAGAGTGCTGTCAATAGGTGACGTGAGTGAGACAAGGGATTCATAATAGACATTTTATTAACAAGTTAAAGCAGTGACAAGGAACTGTCATTTTTTGTTGACTTTGGTGGCCCAGTTTTTGTTTCTCATTTCATTGTTTTCAAAAGGCAATCTGACCCAGTATCAGGCATTGAGAGTAACTAAATAGCCAGTCTTCTCTCTGATGGTCTTGTTTGTTTATGTAGGTCATATTGTGGCATCAGTATTAAATTGAAACTCCTTGTAGAAGGTTTAGGTTTAGCAATGCTAGCATTTCTTGTATGTTTGCTGACCCGGATATTGACATATTATCATCTCATAAAGCTGATATGGCATTTAAGCTAACAGTTGCATATTTACAGCAGATATATGAGCAACATTAACATTCATTAACAGTCATGTTCACTCTCTTATAGCTCTGTTTTTGGTCTCCACCTACTCTTGAGGGAAATATCTGGTTCTTTAACTGCTAAATGCTCCACTACATTGGCCAGCTATAGTTGTCAACTTTTTCTGTCTGCTGTTTGGTACTTAGAAAAGTTGCCGCGGGGAACACGGTTGATAAAAACAGTGGGAATCAAAACACACAGTGAATTTGTGGGATGTTAAAGAAAATGCTTGAGCAGAAAGACACTAAAAAGCTCCGTAGGGTTGAGGGAAATTATGGTTTGGTGAATTCTCTGTGGGTTCACATCACTGGGCAGCTGCTTTCACATCAGTCACTTGACCTATTGGTAATATAAAATATTGATTGAAGCAGCTTTAAGCTTCCAAGCACAGAGTTATCACGAACAAATCTGGAGGTACAAACTCGCAAGTATAAACCCAGACTTACCAGTAGACATATATAGCAGGTTTACACGCAAGCTTTTATGCTACTGTAACCCACGTGTAGTTAACACAATACTCAAATACATTTAGAACCAGTGTATAGATTTAGTTCTGTCAAAAGTCATATGGTAAGGTGTAAAGTTGTCACAGTCCTACCACACTGAGGTATACTCAAATGATGAGGAATGAAGGCTGGGATGGTCTCCTCCTCTGGACAAAGGTGGTTCCAACTCCTTGGAATAAGGAGGGGATCTGGTTCAGTACTGGCTCGCCATCTCCTTCGTCAAGGAGAATCCAAAATCCAAATCTAAGGGTATCTCCAGAGAATCTCAAAAACCTAGTCTGTATGAAAATAAGGCTATTACTACATTGAGTCAAAGAAATCCCAGTTCACTATGACCATGGTAAATCAAATCACATCAAAATTCTCAAAATACTACTGCAACACAATAGTAATTAAATTAATGAAATAGTTTTAACTGTACAACATTTCTCATATGGAGTATTTTATCATCTTTACACCATTCACTACTACACACTAACTTCTAGCTTTTTTAACCATGAATTATGATTATTTAATGTTTTAACCATCAAGTTAACATAGGACCTTTTAAATGATAACATAAACACTCTCTTTTATGAAATAAACACATTGTCTCTTTAAATTATGACCTGAATACAACACATCAGGTATTTTACACACCTCATATTTTCTTATAAAGGTTATTGCTTAAATGCACATATCCAGTAGTCCTAGACATTACCTATTATTATTAGAACTAGCAGTGCATAACTTAGCAGCCACGCTTCCAATGTAAACAGTTAAGTACAAAGGTAATCTTATACACCAAAGAATCATATGCCTGTAGAGGCGCACTTGCTCGGAAAGCTTGCCCTCGAACTCGTCCATCTTCCTGTCTCTGCTTTGGCGCGCTCAGCTGGAAAAAAAGAGTGGTGCACGACCTGGCACGACCTGGTCTAAATCCTGGTGCGCCAGCGAGATCTACGTCATTTTGACGTCACATTGTCGCGCTACAGGTTGAGAACGGCGAGTATGTAACACCCTTAACACAACACATCTATCAATTATTTAAGATTCCTTATACATACAAAATCAGAATCCACTCAGAAAATGGGGAAAGGGGAAAACTACGTTAGGCTCAGGGTTTGGAGGTTGAAGGGGCATCCATTCACACCTGTCAGCTATAATTAAGAGAGGGGTAAGGCTGATGGAAACACTGTAGAAAGCGGTATAACCTGACAGCTTCGTCAGGAGGAGCAGCATCATGCTCCTCAGTGCATCACCGTCTTATCACTGAGCTGAGACACATAGCACCTGCTTTTTGTTTCCTTTGATGGTTTGACAGTCTGTGAGATTTTCATTTAGCAGAGATGAAGATTAAAAGAGGATTGCGGCGTTTTCATCACATTTTTATTAACTTAATTTCTCTGGGTTACCTACATCTGCATTTAAAGCAGGGAGATATGCAGAATACTGTCAGTAAAATTGGATTGAAAGCCATATTTATTACACTTTTTATATGCCCCTGTGCTCGATGATACTAGAGCCTTATGAAGGATTTGTATGCTTTGGTTGGAACCCCGACATTTTTGTAACAACTGCCTGAATGTTGGTGTTGAGAGGTGTGGGTGAGAAAGTAGTCGATAAAAGGGGATCAGTTCAGTAAATCAAATCATTTTGTTTGTATAGGTGTATGTCAGATTGCATACCGTGCTGCATTGGTGCGTTCTGCCGCATTAAACCCTCTGGTGAAAGAAGCGTGACAGTTTGTTGTGTTGCCCTCGTGGGACACACACAGCGGGATGTTCCTTTTACAGAGCAGCCTGTGATTACTCTGCTTAGTTCACCTGAAGACAACATGCAATTCCCACTTCACTGACAGAGGAAAGTGCATTGATTATGCACAGTAAAAATAAAGCAACAAAAACAATGCTAACTGTCAATCTGTCGTGTTTCCACCCCCGGTTACACTGTCACCATGTATCCCCACTGGGGCACTCTGCAGGTTTCCTCTCCATTTATTTCCGTCTGTGCTATTAAACCACAGGCGCTCTGGTGATACTGTTTATACTGTCTATGAGATAGACAGCCATTGGCTTGTCCTGACACACTCCTCAGTGGGTTGAGCGATTGAGTTCTGCTGGCTGAGCAGAGATGAGGACAGCGATTGTGCCATGATGAACTGACAAGATGAGGTCATCTGTTGGTCCGGGCTGCTGGGCCGACACATGAAAGGTTTCCACTCACCTATTCAGTCACACAGCAACTAGGATGAGGTGGCAACCTTTTTGCACCGGGTGTCAGAAGAGAAGAAGAGGGTTTTGTTGAACATGTGGAACAACAGCCTCATAAAGCAGATAGGAACAAGAATTTTAAGTAAAGCTAACTCTTAATTCTGTAAGTTAAAAAATCCTTAGGGCGTTCTGGAGCTCAGGTAGAGCGATCAGGGCGTGTCGTTCCCCCCTCTCTCCCTCCTTTCCTCTCTATATTCAGCTGTTTCTATCAATTAGTTTAGTCATTTTAAATGACACTGACTTGAGTTTGTATTTATTTATTTTTTTGTACTGTGAAAACAAAAAATGTAATCAAGAATGTTTTTAACTTACAAAATTGAGTTTGGCATTACAGTGTATAGCAGGCAAAACCTGCTGCTGACCTCTACATTTCTACTTTGTTGATTATGCAGTAATATTGCTGATATTGTAATTATTATTCTGATTTTTCAATCCATTTTAACAGCTCCAGGTATTTTTCTTCTGAGAATTATTGATCACTGCACTGAATAACACCACCAAAACTAATCACCTCTAAGAGTCACTTAAGTTTTTTACTCAATTATAGTCTTGAAACTAGCAGGGGAACGTCTTTTTCTCCTTAGGGGTTATTTAATTTTATGTTCCACGAGAAATGGAACAATAGAGTTTGCTGATTTATGCAGCCACTCATATACTGCAGAATGGCTCTGTGCTTTCTAAAGGTCAGCAGAAAATGTTCTGCAAGTGTCCTGTGAGTGTTACCTGTGGGTCACACCAGAGAAGGACTGACCTGGTGTACAGACACTTGTGGCTGAAATGCATCGCAAGCTGAATGTTCCTGTTCAGTCCTATTTTTTTAATCTGTGTTACATTGCAGTGATTTGCAAAGTCAGTCATAACTTACTTAGGACTTGAGACTTGAGACTTGCTTGTGACTTGCAAAAGAATGACTTGGTCCCACCTCTGGTACAATGTTATTATCAAAATGAAATGATGGTCAAAACCATGAAAAACAGACCCAAGTTTAAATGAAATGTGACCACAACCAGGATCAGCAGTTTTTCGGGGGAAAAGTGCCGATCTATGACATATTATTTGTGAATAAGACTGATAAGATTTTTCTAGAAAATTTCTATGTAAATAATTTTCTTATTGCAGATTTAACTCTGATGAAGGGACTTTCAGTATCTCACTGATAAACCTTTCCTTTCTCTCTCTGTCTTTCTCCAACAGTCTGAAGAATCAGATATGTGTCCAGTGAGCGTGGGACGAAGATAAAAACCAACTATTGGATTGATGTCAGACAAGCTGTGGTCAGCTTGCCCTGCTTTTTCTGCCTCTGCCCTGCTTCTGCTCTCCTCCACATCATTTCGATTTCTCTCTCTCTCTTTCTCTCTCTCTCTCTCTCTCTTTCTGTCTTTCACTCTGTCTGTTTTTGGCCACCATGACAAGGAGGAAAATAAAGAGGTTTTTTTTTGTAACAGTCTGCACTGCATCAACTCTCTCACCTGTTTTTATACAGTACAGTTTAAACAGTTTTTCCGCATTGCTGGCCACTCTTAAATCATTGACCTTTGACATTCCACTGCAGCTGTGTGCTGTGTTTTTTATCCACTGACAGTCTTTGGGCATTAAAGTGGATCTGATACGCGGCAGCCTTTATAAAATGCATGGACTAAAATTGTTTTTTTTTTCCACAGGATGCTAAGTACTGTAAGTGGAATTTTGACTTGAGAATATGAGGGTTGTTTTGAACTCCTGTTTTGCTTTTACTTGAATTAAACAGAGCATATTTATTTGAAATCAAAAGAAAAACACATACATTATTTAGCACTGTGGGCTCTAACTATGATTAAATCATTCTCTTTGCCCTAAGATTCTGTATGGTACACACAGTGCAACTCAAATCTAATGTTTTTATTGCATACATGTTTGCAGTGGAGCTAAATCCCCTTGCGGCTTAAGGGGTTGATGGCAATAATGAAACTGGTTGGACTGGTTGTTATCTTGTATGGGCTGTCCTAAACAGTAAAAACTTCTGTCTGTGGCTCTGGCAGTGCTTTAAGGAGACCAGCAGAGTTAAAAAGATGTATCTGCATCTACACTGGAACAGAAGATCATTTTTAAAGCTCTTAAAGGAGAAGTCCTATTTATTTTAACTTATTTTCATAGTGTGATTCTTAATAATGACATTGCATTCACCCGTTACTGCTGAGATCTGGGAACGCTACAACATTGCTAAAACAAGCAGTCAGAAAATGACAAATGCCCAAATTAGAAAATTAAGGCAAACAGTGGATTATTAGCCTCACGCCGTACCCATCCATTTATGTGGGTCCAGGCTACAGTGGCAGCAGGCTAAGCAAGGTGCCCAAATCCTTCTGTTCAGTGACTGAAGTAAAATCGCAGGCTGTTAATTGAAGTTTACATTAGATGCAGTCAATGAACCATTTACCATGGGTCCCCCAAACCTCTGCAAGATCAGCCTGTTCTCATTCCCAGGGTTTCAAATACAGACGGTTTGTCTCGCCCTTCTGCGTCTCCATCCATACAAACAAGGTACCTTTTAGCATCTGTTTGAAACGCAGCGGGTCATCTAACTAAGCAATGTGTGTCAGGTGTGGTGTGAAGAGTGATAAAGCCAGTGTAAGGAGGTAGCCCCCAGGAGGCCAGGATTTGGGTCCTGTGTAAAACCAAAAGTCATTTAAAGGTTTATGTTTCATAAGATTACATATGTGACTCAAGTCATGTGACTTATTGCTGTGGTAATGGCAACGTACGTTGCATAATGTACTTATTTGAACCCAAATCCCAATTTAACCCAATGATGTTAAACCTTAACCAAACCAAGTGGCTTTGTTACCTAAACCTAACAAAACTATACGAGACAACGTTAAAAAGGCAAATCATGCAAATGTTACCTTAAATGTAACTCTGTGCTTCTGTATGAGACGCTGAGGGGAATAACAAAAGGGCGTCGGTATTTGACAACCTTGGATGCGAACTTGTGTGCAAGCTGATTGGCTGACCCAACTCCTGTCGGGATAGGAGTCCAAAACAGGGAAGAAATAAGCGTGAATGTTATATAAGTTCAAACACAAACGAAAGCACATGAACGCCTCCTAACAACCCCTGTTCACCCACATACAGCCCAGAGAAGTTTCACTTAAGGGTGAGTCCAGCCCTCATTTGGAGGAAACACATTTTGGCCATGTGAATCTCATTCTTTCTGTCATTAACCCAAGTTCATGACCATAGGTGAGGTTTGGAATGTAGATCAGCTGTTAAATTGGGAGCTTTGCCTTCGGGCTCAGCTCCCTCTTCACCACGGCAGTCTGGTACAGTGTCTGTATTTCTGCTGACGGAACACCAGTCGGTCTACTTGTCGGATGGTTGTACACTGTCTGAACACACACACCTTTCCAACCATCACAATAATCATGTGATGGCTTGGAACAGCTGTCGTCAGACGTGGTCGGACGAGGATTAGTAGAAGTACTTTGCATCATAAGACCACCCTACCGGACAGTGATCCCACCCCACCTCTGCCTTGAGATTCTGCTCTGACCCAAACGGTCCATTTTAAACATCCATCACAGTGTACAGACCGACTTCCTCCTTCCACTCTGACCTACAGTAATACCTACTGTAGTTGTGGGTGTACACAGTTTATCTGTGCAGTGAGTGCAGTGAGGACATTCTGGGCATGCTTACCTTCAGTTTTACCTCCAAGTAAAGTGGTTTAGATAATCTGGCTAAACTGCTGACCGTTTATTGCCCCAATTTGTTGTAGCAATTGCACCGTGCTCCTATATCTCAGCAGTTACTTTGGTGAGAGCATTGTTATCATAACCAACAGAAATAATGCCCAGTGCTACAAAAATGAGACTCCATTTGAGATAAACCAAAACAACAAAAGAATAGTTTGATTTCTCCTGCTTTTAACAGATATAAGAAGACATGATCTCTTCTACAAATTAAAAATGGGATTTTTCTTTTGCTGTATAATGCAACATATACAGTCGACTGTATGTGGTCAGTGTTATAGGCTTAGAAATATTTTCTCTAGTTAAGATGCTTTCATTTCAGTATGGTCTTCATCTCAGGGAGGTGTAACTGGTTGCTTTAGTGAAATTTAACACTGCTGTTGAGAGTCAAACATTCACATGTACTGAATCCATTCCACTGTAGAGCCTTGTAGAATGTGTTGGTAGATAAGGTACAATGGACTGAACTGTAATGGTTTGACAAAAAGAATATTGATATTGTGGAGTGTTTTAAAGGGTAATTCAGCTTTATATATATATATGTATATATATATACATATATATATATCTTATTGAAGCTAATGTAGCATTCTTCTTTCTTACATGTCATGTAAAGAAATTAAAGATGTTGACTTTAAAGCCAGTGCTGTATAAATGAGAACTTTGAGGAAAATTATAAATGAATAATATATCACTGTTGTGGATCAGATTAATTTGTAATTGCTAATCTGTTTACAGTTGATTTCTCCTACTGTCATTCCCAGTGCTGTGGCAACTGCAGAACTGTGTTTGTTTAAAATGTAGCTTTGACTCGCCTTGTTGAAGCCTTTTATTTTGCCGAGACCTCTAAGTTTATTGACAGCTGAAATCACTTGAACACAGAGCTGGAGATTTGTACTGTAGAGAAAGAGGGAAAAAAATCATCACATAACATCTTGGACTGAAAACAAACTGTTGCTGGCTGATGTCAGAGCCGCCAGCTGATGCGAGAGGCTCCACCGCCGGCCACATTAACAATGATTTATAGAAATGTGTTTTTTAATATTGCAAATAAGAAGTGCACGTATGATTTGTTATTGCAAGTCGAGAAAAAAAAAAAAAACTCCAGTGAATTGCTTTGCTCAGCCTGAGTGATGACATTTCTGTCCAAACATTGCTTTGGATGAGTCGTTCCTCCTTCATCACAGGTCCACCTGTCATACACCCTCTAGTCCCCTTGTGCTCTAGGTCATGTGCTCTATTGTGTCTGAGAAAAGAATAAAAGACACTTGCAACTACACAAGCTCCACTTTGTACTGTGTTGCTTTTATTATGTTGCTTTTTATCTTGTTGTTTACAATAATTATAGTAATGTCTGTACAGCATAGTAAGTTATTATAATCACTGTAATTAACACGTAACACACTTAAAGATGGAAAAAGCAGAAGGTAATTTAGAATCACTACACAGACACACACACACACATACACACATACCACCACCACCGCCAAGGCAGCTCAGTTCTCCAATTGGTTTAAAATTAATCATTTGTTTTTAAATGTTTAATTTAGTAATTAAGTCGTTTATTAGTTATTTATCTTCTCACATATGTCATTACATTGCAAACAAAGAACTCCTGTCCCAAGCCCCACAGATTTAATCTGCCACAGTAAAGGTTCTCTCCTAGAACAGTTTTTTTGTCGTCATTCATCCAGAAGAACTAATTTTACACTTATTTTATACACATTTTACTAAAGTAAAAAAAAGCTAAATCTATCTCTAGATCATCATATAATGAACAATAAAACATTAAAAAAAAAATTCTTCCAGAATCACATAGCAAACTAAGCCTTTTCTCCTCTGGGATTCCATCGAACGTGCCTGTTTTAAAGCAAATGGTAGTGTAGGCTACAGTGACTTTCGGTGAACTCCTGCTTCACATAAGGCTCTACAGTCTGTAGTCTGTATATGGATCCAGGTCTCAACAAGCAATCATTCTTTATATGAATGCAATCTTGAATCACAGTCATTTTATATTATAAAAAGTAATATTAATAGTAGTAGTATTAATTAAATGACTGAAAAAAATCAATGTTCATTTCATTGATGCAATCTAACAGTCCTGTTCACTGATTGAATTTTCACCATGGACCAAATACAGCCTAAAAAAAACTTTAAAAGACCAGTATGGATTTAGTGACATCTAGCAGACAAACTATGGTGGGTGCACATCTAGAGCCAGTGTTTGATTTGTCCGTTCTGGGTTACTGTAGAAACATTTCAACATGGCACTGTTATGACCCACTCCTTCTGGTCATACAAAAGGCTCATTCTAAGGAAATGAAAACACAGCAATTGTTATTTTAGGTGATTGTATACTAATGACCACATACCTATGAATATTATAATCAATTTGAACCAATAGATTCTCCTAAATGTTACACACTGGACCTTTATAATGGAACAGCTTCACAGAAACAACTTAGAACAATGGTCTCATTGTATATACAGTATTACATACACCCAATCCCAGTTCTTACAGTGCCATCTGGCTGCAGGTGAATCATTTGTGTTAAGAGCTATGCCAGTTTATGTCATATAGGCAACATTAGGTAGGTATATCAAAAATCAATCATCAAAAATAATAAATACTTCCCTGTCTAAACTCTGTCCATCTTATGCTTCCTGCCCATCCTCACCAGAAAAACAGCCATAAGGTCGATTGCAAGCAGCTTATTGCAGAGCGATGCCCTTTGCCCCCTCTCATGTGACACTGTAGCATCCAAACTTGGTATTGTTGCTATTGTGTGAGGACTCTTTTTGAAGTTCAGGAAATGATTAACAATGATTGGTGCTTCTGAACAATGTGCACCAATATTGCTTTAAATTGTGCTATCACATGAGCCAATCTTAGCTAGCTAGCTAGCTGGCTGGCTAACATACAGGCTCCAGGGTCGGGGTTATTCTTTTCAGGTTAGAGCAACAGCCCAATAAAATGTCTGCGCACATCCCTGTCTTCTCTTAAACCTAACCAAGTAGTTTTTGTGCCTGAACCTAACCAAACTGCAACCATTTCACAACATCATCCATGTGTATTATGTCACTATGTCACTTGACTTACTTAACGTAGGCTACTTATATCTGCCAGGTCTCTCACTGGTGCTCTCTACCAGTCATATATGTTGTTTTGGGAGTCATTAACAATTCTGTCATTTAGTTTTGAGGATGTCATCTGGCCAAAACAATCAGGCCTGTTCAAAACTCTATGCTGCAACACCCAACCCAAGCCCAAAAGCCCGAACCACGGAAGCAGTTTAAGGCTTGTGCCCAAACCTGAACCTGAGTTTCCACTTAAAATAAATAAATAAATAATTTAAATAGTTTATTACAAGCTAAAGTAAACTACATTGTACATAATATATTGCAAATTATTATTATTAATTCATTCATTACAGTTGCATGCATTATTGATAAAAATATATAGTTTAAATAAGATCTAATTCTGTCTTATGGCAGTCTCAAACCTGGCGGATTTTGTCGGGTCCAAACGGGTTCAGGCAGAGAATCAAAGCTCTATTGCAGCATGACTGTCACTAAACTGAATCTTGATAACCTTGCAGTGTGAAAGCACTTTATTAGTCTTTATCTTTCTCTAATGAAAAAGCTACATAGTTGTTTTTCACAGCAGACATTTCAATGGTGAAACTGATAACATTTAACGATTGCAGTGCAGCAATTAAGAGGTGTAATTAGTTACACCTTTGTTTGACAAACCAAAATGTCTGCTGTGAGGATCCATTCAGCTTTAGTTTGATTCCAGAGTTTTCTCACAGATGCTAGAAAAAATGGCAACCCTTTGAAAATAAATAAACCATAACACGCCAAGCACAGATGTATGATTTATTAGTTGGCATAGGATTGTCTGATAGTGATTAGCATACTGTATAACTGACCAGTGGTTGATCATAGTCTCTCACTATGTATCCTTTCCCATTCACTCCTGTGGAGCTCCTTACATTACATTTTTCAGTAAAATGTTCCAGCAGGGTTGGGCTCTGTGTGTCCCGACCAATGAAGATAGATTATTCTAATTAAGCTATGCAGACAACAGCGTCCCATCAGGAAGCAAGACTCATTAATTCCCTCTTTTAAAATCTGAATAATAGAATGTAAATGGGAAAGGGTGCCAAATTGGTTTCTGCATGAGGAGGCGTGTAGGGAAAGAAGCCAGAGTGTTACAGCGGTATCTGTACTGACCTCTAAGGGGTCATTAAAATTCTCTTAACACACTGAGGGCTCAGACTGCATTCATCAGTCTGTCAATGACACCTTTTTAAGCAGAGCCATCAATCAAATCGTGAACAGATCTTAAGACTACAACTGTTAGTCTCAGACAGTATATTTTTGCTGATTCATTTCAGGAAACTTTTTCCTTTTTAGCTTTTTGGAATAAAAAGCCCTTTAAGCTGGGATAGTTATGGACCAAGCTTTGTTGTTTAGACACCCTTTAATCCCATTTCACGTTGTAGCTTCCTGACTGCTGAAATTATACCTTATGTGTAGGTATCTCTTTGATCCAGAGAAGTGTGGTTTCCAGAGATGGAATCAGATCATCTCTAATGTTCTACCTGAGCGTGATAAGAGCGACGAAGAGGAGTTGGGGCCCGCAGGCTGGAAAACATCTAAGCCAGAGAAATCTGTGGGGGTTGGTACAGTTCTGTCCCTGCCTCTGAAAGAAGAGGAGGAGGGTTATTTCGAGGACTGGGGCTAAGGTGGGTATGGGATCTTTATTCTTTTATCCCATCTCTTATACCCTCACATGTGTTAGCACTCACAGCCGGTTTGAGCCATGAGAGAGAGCGAACATAAGAAAAGAGGTGAGAAAAATTGCCCAGAACCCAACAGATCCAGTGCGAGTCCCTTATGTATTATTACTATGCATAAAAAATATGCATTATTGCTTTTTTCCAGGAGTGAGAGAATTAGAGAGTGATTTAAGGAGCTTAGCTTTGCCCTGTGCGCCACGTAGCAGAGTTTACAATCCAAGGGGAAACTTGCTTTATATTCCATGCAGATACCATTTTCAGTGTGCACACTACATATATCTTATATCATTATTATCTAGGTTATCTTAAGGGTTTGGTATGGATTTAAAATGCCTGAATAAAAAAAGAATCAAACAAAGAATAAAGTGAAGCACAGTACATGTTACATTTATTTCCATTTTGTATGTATGCATTTACTGTGTCATAAATAAATTAACATGTTAATAGAAAAAACAAACTTCTATCTAATTTTAATATGAACATATATCACCCATGTATAACTGTGTACCCCTAACACATGACTTGCCTTGCACCTTCTAGAATTTATTTAAATTTTCCTCAGACATTCTCTCATACTTGAAATACAGATACCATCTCTTTGGATCAACCTACTTCAGTCACTACAGCCAATATCTACCTCACCTTTATTTAAAAAACATCTCAAAAGGTCTTTAATTGGCAAAGATTCATAACGCTTCATGGATCTCAATGTAATTTATTTCTCAAGATAAAATATGTATTTCTACATTTCTATTAATATTGTATTTCAATTGCTTGAATGTTGTATTACAACCTTTGTTTGTATCTGTTTTTCTCCCTTTAAAGTAGGATTATATTTGTAAAGTGGGGGTATCTTCTCAGGCCATTATTGGCTTCAAACCTTAAACTGCATTCACGTGCAGTCTCTTTCCATGATACTGTATGATAAATAATACTTAATCCTGTATTTACATGAGTTTGTTGAGTTAAGCCTTGTCTGTTTACACTGAATTCATCTCTAAAGCACGGGGCTACCATTATCAGGGGACTTCTTTCCTGCAGTCTTGTAAAACAAAATGTAAAAATTCAATACAAATGACCTTCCATATTTCACCAAACACAGAGGTCATGTGATAATATTAGTCCCGTGTGAAATGGCAGCACTGTGATTTGGGTACATATTTTTTATTTTTGCAAAGTGTCAAACTGGTCAATGTGGAGCAGCAGTGAAAGAAGTGCTGCACCTAAAACGCACCCCTGACAAATAAGAGGCATAAAACACAGCTGGAATATACAAACCATGACGGGAGCACTCTACAAATAATAGACAGTGAATTAACAGTGTTATGAGTCAGTGTTTAATGTGGTGTGTAGGCCTATCTGATCCACCAACCAGCACTTCTTTTTGTGAGTCTGCCTCACATTCCTGTGGTCTTCTCCCAGTTACAACGAAGGCTGTAGATGTTTATGGATTATATTGATGCTGAATTGACAAGGA